TAATACCGTTTCGTACTTACAAAACCTCGCAAATACACTACTGCAGACCCTGCTGTGAACTTCAAAATGTATACCAAGTGAATAACTGCTTCTACTTCAGAAGGCCATCCATTCCACTTGCTTATCGTGTTGGTGAAAAAAAAAATAGTTTAAGTTCACCAGCCCGGCAGCTCATTTCCTTTTCCTTATTGACAATGACTACTCGCTATAAAACACAATTCGATTTGTCTACGCTGTTGCAACTTTGGGTAGCGCGGTCCTGACCGCAGCCATCCGAGTCTCAGGAGAAGACGAGTAGAGGTGCCGGAGTAGGTAATAAGAACGTTTATATACAGTATTTACATGTTTATGACAGCGTGAATTAACCAAAAAAAAAGAAGCATCTCCAAGAGTCTCTGCGCTCGCGTTTTGTATCCTGAGTCTTCCCAAGATTCATTGCAATAGAAAACAATTGAGTCCAGAACACTCCAATCATATCGTCGTCTTCCTCTCCCCTCCCGAAAAGAGAAAGTACAACACCGCTTCCCTTTGAACCCAAAAAAGAGGAAGAGGCACGCCCAATTAGTCGCATGGTGAGGGATAAACAAACAATACAGACACAACTAGCGTTGTTCGATGACTTTGAGTCTCAAGCGCAGAGAAGACTCATTTAGGAGGCATCGCTACTGGGCAGGTCGTGGTGTGCGGGAAAAGAATACCTGTCTGCGTTAAGGAAAGCGAAGCCGCACAGACTGCACATAGCCTTGTCTAGGCAGTTTGTCGGTCGGGCGCGTCCAAAGGGTTTTTGGCAAGGCGAGCCGACGACCATGAAAAATTCGCCGTACCACTGCTGTGTTGATGATGATTCGGAATGTTGCTCTCGGCTGCTGGCTCGGCAACGATGACTTCGTCACAAAAAGAGCCGGTGACGTGGTATTGCACGATATCCATCAAAACCATTGCCGTCGGAAGGACAAAAACCCCGTGTGATTTGGGCGAGGCATCACAACGCCAAGGGAAGACCTAGCATCAGCCAAGAAGGGCATACGTTAAGCTCCTAAGATTAATCAGCTGCACTGTTTATTAAGCATTACACGACTATTGCGAACCACCACCGATGCGAGAAGATGATGACGCAAGTAAAAAAAAACGTTAAAAACTCCATTAACGCTTTCTTGTGTCTTCGTCTCCTCGCGCAGTTTAAAAACGTTTATCAGCAATGAACCTACTAGCCTGCAAAAACGTATTACTGACCCCCCCAACCCACCCCTTTTTTCAAGGATGTGACTGAATAGTTCTTTTCAAAAGTAATTCTTAAAAATAACAGGTACCTTGACTATGCCGGCTAAGTGTTATGCCCAAAAACCACGTGCACGCAGTTAGCATTCAATATCGCAGTCTGATATGGCTTGCGCTATTTTATTTCTTTTGTGCATGTCATCAGGCAAGAGTAACAGGGACACACACAGAGAGAAATAGAGTGATGAAGGAAGTGAACCACTGGAACGAAATTGCCCTCTCTATCGCTCACAAAGGGATGAATTGAAAGGCCACGGGGGGCGGCAGATGGCGTGAATTCGGTTCCGAGGACTTTCCGAAGCGATGGTCGTCGATCAAAATCGTTTATTCTGCTCTAGCTCGGCTCCTTCTCGGTCTTCCTATTTTTCGGCTTGTACCGCGCCCTCTCTATGTATTCGATGAATGGTGAATCGGGTGGAAACTGATTGAAGATTGGGTCGCCATTCATTCGAAGAAAATTCGCTTCTGGAAATAGAGCACCTTCGAGTTAGGAGAATTGGTTTACTTCTCTGCAGCGGCTGATGGAGGACGCCACCAGTGGATTTCACTGCGTCCCCTTTCTTTCGTTCTGCAATCCACCTGCGTCTTTTTAATAACTTCTACGTTACCCCTCTTGTATCGATTAATGCTTTATGCCCTCTTTTTTTTTGTCCAACCACCCACTGACTTATATCTTGCCTGCCCGTTTTTGTATGAAAAATGGTCGGAAACACTGAAATATTGAAAACCGACCGGGAGGATAATCTACCTGTTTTTGACAACGAATGAAACAATACGGTACAGGCACTCAGTCAGACAGTATTAGCCGAATGCATTTGCGATGAGAATTGCTTCGTCTTTAGAGCCACCCACTGAGGTATCTTGGCAGCTATAGAGTTTAGCACTGCTAAGTTTGAGGACGTGGGCTTGATTTCAGGGTGACGGCCACCTCACCAAACAACGCATTAGAAAAAAAAAATCGCGACACGTGAGCTGAATTGTAGGCGTGTGACAAATAACCTTCGGTGCCTACAATTAATCCGAACACACCGACAATGACATGATGAAAAATGATATTGTGGTTTCGGCCCGTTCCGATGAGCTTCTAACCTTTAACTCCGTAATAGTTAACATGGGGTTTGGTGTCATGCTTTCGTGCCGAAATAGGCTCCGGATAAATATGGTTACTCTAAAAAGTTGTTGGGAAATTCAGAAATTTCAAATAGCTGCTGACAGCTTTCATCTAGCTACAAATAACACCAGTCAATTAAGCTGTATCCAACTGCATGTTGCCTGTTGGTGTAATAAAAAAAACATCGACGTGTGCAGCATAGCACTGTTTCCTATAAAAGCAAATGCATACAGTGGATAAATTAAAGCCAACGTGCGAGTTGAAGAAGTCGCAAAAGAAGAATTTTTCGACAACTTTTATTCCTGTTTTGTACACAGCACATTGCGCCGTTGTGTTCACAGTAGCACTGCACAACGAGTCGATGACGGATAGATTTACAACGATCGACGATGTATGTATGTACACATGATAAAGTGACATATTATTAACAGATGGTCTACCTGAGAAGAGGACCTAAGAGGCTGGTGCAGCCACCTTATATTCGTGTACATTGGCGCGACAGCAGAGGAGAATTCGGCGTTTACGAAAAGATGCAACAAGACTTGTTTGAAGGTTACTTTCTTTTCTGGTATTCATGTACTGAACTTTCCAGACATCTGCCCAGGACATTGGAAAAACATCTCAGCAGCTTTGTTATTTTGAAAAATTTCCGTAGGTCTATAATACATTTCGGATACCGTACTTATAGGTCCAATTAAATGATGCCTTTTGAGTTCAGCTTTGGTGGCGCCTTTTAAGTCGATGGACGAGTCTCTGGAGAAGGCAGATGTATCTATGACTCTCACAAATATGCCACAATGTTTACCGCGAAACATAAGTTGGTACGAGTGGATCGATAGGCAAAAATTGACGGCTACCCTAATGATTGATCGAAGTGCCTGGCTTAGTGACACGCAGTCGTCGTCGTTTGTATGCCCTCATTAACACCAGCACCAACGGTGATTTCGTGGGTTAACTTTCAAATTTCGTCTCGCTGCCAAAACTGATCTCAGCGGCTCCTTTGAAAGAAGCGTCGTGGCGTCGAGATCTACTCCGCAAAGTGCCGCAATAGTCCATGTTGCCGACACAAAAAAAACCATCTGCACTTTCAATGAGCTCACTCAATAAAATTTTCCTAGTTATCCTGACAGTTCATCAAGTGTGAAGCGTAAAAGCATTGTGTCTCAAAGTAAAAGAAAGCTGAACTAGTCGGCAAGTAATCACTCTAAAAGACAAGCCGTCCAAACACGGGCCCTTCTTGTGTCTGTGTTTGCTCGGCGTGTCATTTAGAATGTATTGTACTTTATGCCTAAACCGAGCGGAGTGCATTACTTTTGATGACTTCTCGGCTGCACATCGACAAACTAAAGGAGGTTCTTTGACACGGTAGTTGATGGAAAAAAAAATCAAGGTAGACATTACGGTTCTTAGAGAGTATGTAAGTAATTGTTCCTATAAGTAATTGTTCCTATTCCCTTTTGACACAGGGCATGCGTTTAATGCGCCACAGGAATAAAAAATAGGTAATAAATAAATAGTTAGTCTGTTATTAATGCACTGGCCAGGCGTCACGGTGTCGCTTAGAGTTTTGTCTGACAAAGTTCGCCACCCGAGGGAGCAATGTACTAGCTGCCACTCCACCGTTTCCTAATGTGTTGGAGTTCTTACGCCTGCGCACTCTGGTAAATAAACCTTTGTTTATGTCGATTTGTTTATTTGTTTGCCAATCGGGGAATGCGCATGCATATCCTAGAGAACGGTCAATAGCGGGAAGTCATGCAGAACAGATAACTGCATGTGGCGGAGCAAGTTCAAGAGGCCGAAGACATTGAATTGTGAACACTGCACCTATACTCCTATATATATGTACATTTGAAACTTACAGCGCGTACGAGACGCGTTTCCAGCAACACAACAACGTCACCCTATTTTACTCTAATGTACAGACAACTTTGACTTGTTTGGGCGAGCTACTGAGCCTTTTGATGGAGGATCTGGGATGCGTCCGCCAGGGGCGCTGCATACGGGCGCTAGCCTGATGACGTGCCACGTAAGCTAGGAGGGAGCGTGGCGTGGCTGCAGGCATCGGTGACGTTGCACAATAGGCGTCGCTCGTGCTTGCATTTCCTCGCTCCACTCGCGCGCGTCGTTGAAGAGAGGATGATGGAAGGCTTTCGAACGCCATAGCCTTAGGAAGGGGGAGAGAGTATAAAGAAAGAAAAGGGCGCGTTGTTAGAGTCGTGAGTTCTAGCTACCCACTTTAATGGAGTAGTGAGGGAGAGAGAGAGAGAGAAGGAGAGGTTAAACAAAGATACATTCACTGTGTGCATGAATATGAGCACTCGAGGCGGGCGAGAAAACTGAAAACTAAGCCCCCCTAAAGAAACACGAATCTACTTTCGGTGCTTCGACAGGAGAAGCATGTAAATTATGATAATTTTGGACAAAGACTGTGAAGTAGATAGGTTGAGAAAAACACCCGCCGCAACAGAAAAAATGATGAGTTCGATTTTACGACGAAAAACAACTTTAGATGTCAGAACATTGTTCTAGGCACACACACAATACGCCTATCAAAGTGTAATTGCTTGTTAAAGTGAATATAGGATAATCAAAGAGTAAGTACTATTAGCTAAGGCAGTGAGCCTGTTTAAAAAATGCATAAAAACACAACACATTGAGAACCTGATTACAAATTTGCAAAAAAAAAAAGGATGTGGATACACCTGACACCAGTGGAACGAAATACGACGGCGTCTGTCGGGACATGGAATAACACATCCACTAGGTAATTCCTGATGGTTAGTTTACGGTTGTGGTAGGGTCATGACACCTCGTCTAAACGTAATGCGTCGAAAGTACATGAACCAATGAATTTGATGATAGTAGATAAAATGTAGCTATTCCAATAAGATGTTCTTTCTTTTTGAGATTACTAAAACAACTATGTTTTGTTTAATTTGTCAAAAATCGTTCCTGTCACAAGTACCCACAAAACTGCGTGGATGTTTACAGATGCACATTACCCGAAAATTGCACTTCCTACCAACTTGCTAACTCCATAGCACTGAAAAGTTTTCAAGGTGCAGCAGTAAAGTGCCTTAATATGCGGAATAAGTTGTAACGAAAGGAACAACGGAAAGCGATGTCAAGGAATATTGTAAACTGATAGTCGCTTTTCTAACTTCTGAGACAAACCCTGTTTACATGCGATAAATCTAGCGTCCAACCTGCAAACGGCTTCTAGTTCTACTCGAAGGTGAAACGACACTGTTTTTGCTGTACGTACACAAAACCTAGCAAAAATGTGCCGGGAAGTATTGTTTGTGCAAGTACGAAAACTGCTCCTAAATTTGAAGTAAGCGTAAGTGGCTCACATTTTCTTTTCGTGCTTCCTCTTCGGATTATCTGCATGTTATCACGTAAACAGATGAGCTGTGGTCACCAGGCATATTGACATCAAGGCGACATTACCAACAGGGCATGCCGAAGCATCGGTCGGATCTGCACATTTAAGAATGAGAGAGAATAAGGATGAAAGAAAGGCTGGTCAACCAGGTAGGGAGGTTAACGAAAGCCCCATAACAAAAACGAGTTCATTTCCCAAAGTTGGTGTGAGGGGTCCAAGATACATTGCCTGTTTAACTGCATATATATATATATATATATATATATATATATATATATATATATATATATATATATATATATATATATATATATATATATATATATATATATATATATATATATATATATATATATATATATATATATATATATATATATATATATATGTGACGCTACGATGACTGGATGACGTGGCCTGGCTCATACCCCATGTTTATTCCGTTCTGCACTTCTTCTTCCTCTGCTTCTACCAACCATCACTTCATACGTCACACGATTCCCCCTCCCCCCGAAAGAAGGCATGGATTACGAACAAGGAAAAGTACACAAGAAGAGGTTGAGAAGTCACAAATGTCAAAATGCACAATTGGTTTCATGGCCCCGTGGTGTTCCGTAAACTCGCAAAACTTCAGGAAAGAGTGCAGCAGTCCGGTTAACGCAGGAGTTCTGGTGGGCGAGGCTGATGGTTGCGTCCTGAATAACACAAGAATGCTTTGGACGTGGAGATAGCGAAAATCGCAGCCGGAATTCTTGTGAAGAACAAACGAGGTTCGAACACCTTGCAGAATGGACAGTTCAGATATCGTAGGCATCGAATTCTTCGTCGTGGCACAGGTCGTGCAGGCAGCTTGCGTGCGCGTTGATCGAGGTTGATTGGGCGCTGCCTGTGTTTCTGCCGAGTACAAGGGGTGCTTTTGTGGCTTTTGGAAATTTTTCTATGGCGACGTTGCAGATGGTTTGATGGAAGGCACATTCTTGATCTTTGGTGGAGAATGTATCCACCACGATGGGCATTTTTGCAATGTTCTTCAAGCCTTAAGAGTGCACTCGGTGAAGTTTTGTTTCGCCGTTGACAATGTTGAAGTATGCGTTGACGTTGTAATTTCTTCGTTTCGTCAACTTGCTTGTGGTGTGACATTGATCGTGTTGCGCCAGGATTCTTAGCGAGTCCTCCACAGGCTTCTACGACGCCAACCAATGCAACTGTTTCCGGCGCAAGATAATGTGGTGGGTTTGATGCACTTGAATCTTCTGTATTTAAAAACCGTTCATCGTTGGTCGTTGCCTGAAGGGTACTTGTGCCATCAGAAGTGGCACCTGCGGTTTTGTTTTCATTACATGCAGTGAGGTTGTGTACTGGATTCACGTCGCTTCGATCTTGTGATTGATGAACACTCGAAGCTTCTGCAGAACACTTTTCTTCACAAGATGCTGATTGTGAATGCTTCTGTCTCTGTGGAACTGCTGAACTGAATACTTTGAACAAATGAGATTCCTGTGAACATTCGTTGTCTGGGTTGGTTTCGTGCGGATTTACTAACTCGTCATGCGTAAATGCTACGATCTTGTGAGGTGCTTCATCAGGTTTATCAGTAAAGTTGATGACAGGAGATAGAACTGCTGAGCTGAATACTTTGAACGAATGATGTTTCTGTGAACATTCGTTGTTTGGTTTGGTTTCATGTGGATTTACTAACTCGTCGTGCGTAAATGCCGTCACGCGTCCGAAGCCATGTGGGCCATGTGTGCGACACGAAGCATCAAGTGATTCGGGTTGTTCAGGAATACCTGAAGTATTATGGTGCCGTAAGTACATAGGAAATGCCGATTTATTTGCCCGTGAAAAATCCAACCGTAAGTCCGGTCTTTTGGCAAAATGGTCTACATTCCTATCGGCATACGGTGGCATTACCTTCTCTGCTGCGACGTGCAAGTCCCTAGTTGGTGTTGTAATGCGTGAAGTGTATTTGGACGAGTCATATGATGGTACAATGGTGGAATATTTTCTCTGAGGCCTCGTTTGGGAAATAGGCTTACTGCGGGAAGACTTCGCGTATTTCTGATGGGCGAGTTGAAAAGCTTTCCGCTGATGGAGTATGGACAGGTCTTCATCGTATTCCTTGAAACGGCTGATCATTTCTTCTTTGATCTTTTTCCAAGACTCATCGTTCTCGAAGATGTGGGTGAGGTAAAACTTGAATGCCTCACCTGAGATGTAGTCGGTGAAGTTTATGATCATCTCCCGTTCCGACCATGATGCAGCGGCGGCATGGAGCTCGAACAGGTTGAACCAGTCCTGTACGGGTCCGTCGTCCGCTGATCCGGTGTACTTAGGGATGTCAAGGTCGTCTGATGCTGCTGTCATGATGCTTGGTGGTCTTGGTGGTCCGCGTTTGGTCACTGCGTCTCGCTGAGGTCTTCGATGATGATGGCCGGGTGATGAAGTGGTTGCGAGGTCTTCATCCTGTCGACTTGTGTGACGCTACGATGACTGGATGACGTGGCCTGGCTCATACCCCATGTTTATTCCGTTCTGCACTTCTTCTTCCTCTGCTTCTACCAACCATCACTTCATACGTCACATATATATATATATATGTATATATATATATATATAATGAGAACTAACAGACAATATAACTTCCCGTGGGCAGTAGCCGAAGCTGCGACCTTCGAATAACGCACTCGATGCTCTACTCGTGAGCTACCATGGCGGCTATCCTCCAGCCACTTCTTGTTGAAGGCCTTTCAAGGCCTTCAACAAGTCACTTTTTCTTCCCTCCCAGACAAAAAAAATTCCAGTCTATGGGCCTGCTCTATGGGCCTGCTCTTTTGACCTACTAGTTGTTAGTTTGCCATCAGTCACACCCCACGTCACTGAACAACGGTGAGTGAGTTATCGTCCACTGACACCGAATGTAGTTTCTGCTTTTCAGGCTGCATGAAAAATGGAAGTTTTCCAAACCCAGTAAACTGCGTTGACTATAGTCATAACCCCACCATTGCAGTAGGGCAGATTTGGAGGTGCCGCGGGACAAAAGGTCAAGATAAAAATACAACAATATTTCACCCGAGTAGCATGGTATCAGTGTGTGTAGAGCGTTGACAGTTCACGCCATGGAAACAAAAAATGTTTGTTACGGGGTGGCTCAAAATCATTCCAGTAATAATTTACCTACGCTGTGCAACCGTCACAACAACGATTAGACGAAAGAAAAACAATTATATTTTAGCACACCAGCAGGTTAGTCTGAAACTTTCTGGTGCCACCACATCAAGCTACCATGAGCATCGCAAAAATGATTGAAGTCACGATATACTAGTTCAGTGTACATAACAAAAAGCTAATTTGTTGTTATGAACACTTACTCTTATTCCTTATTCGTCTTCAGCTATGTTTAGCTCATACAGCTAAATAGCTTACGCAGCCGTATTTCCAATCAATCAATCAATCAATCAATCAATCAATCAACATATCTATCAATCAATCAAAAAGATCACATTGACCAAACTAAAACACTTGCCCTGCGTTTTGGCTGGTGGCCCGGTCAGTGGTGGCCTGGCAGGATAGCTGCGTTGCTTTGTTATAGAGTCACGAGGAACCTCCATTTTGCTTTCTGAAAAAAAAAAATAGAACACAGAAAAGAAACTCAGAAGGATGAAAAATTCTTGCCTTACAGTTCAACTTTCTGGAGCAAAAACGAATCTCCCAATTGCTTTGAGGTCGATATAAGATAAGATGTAAACATTACTTCCATACAGCATAGGTGAAACGCACCCTTTAGGATCTCGAATCTGAGAAACGGACTATATATCCTCACGTGATATACTGCTAAAGCTTGCGCCGAAACACATATGTTATTGGGATAGAATGAGAGTAAGGATTAGTTTACTTGAGCATTTTACTCAACCGTGGTTTGCGAATTCCATAAGCCCCCCACCCTTTTTTTTTTTCAGAAAAGAAATTCTTCGCGCAGCTAGGATGGCGAGACAATGCTTTGTCGTATCATTCAGTTTACAGAAGGATCAAGAGAGAGAGAGAGAGAGAGAGAGAGGAAAGGCAGGAATTTTAACTAGCCTAGAAAAACTGGTATGCTACCGTACACTGCCAAAACATAAAGGGAGGTTCAAAAGTTAGAGAGAGAAAGGAATAAGGAGAGTGCACAAATACATGAAGTGACACACTTTACAGTCACAATAGCAATATCGGCCTATAGCCTCCACTGAAAGCATGTATGTAGCCTTCAAATATTTAACGATTCCTGAGTGAAGGAAACGATTCCTTATTGCCAAGGAATGCAACGCGCACGACACCCAAGTGCAAGCGCACATACCTTCAATGCTTTGTATCCTCGCTGTTGAGGGTTCCTTCACCTTCGAAGGTGGCGGTATGTGAATCTCTGTGAGAAAAATGAAGCAGTCACCATTAAAGAGAACTCGGGCTTAAGTAGATGTCAGCTCAGCGTAATGATTAAAAGGATAAAATGTTTGAGGCAGCAGGCACTTGTTTTTCACTGCTGCTGCTAACAACAATTAGGTGCATGACAAAAACCGTGGGCTGCTTAAAGAGAAAGAAAACAAGAATACTTTTTTTCTTTTTCACTCAGTGAACGAACGCGTATGGAACACGGGTATTGTCCGTTACGCAAGTGCCACACTGAAGTGATTAGATCTATTCACTTTCTTTCCTTAGGGAGAGAGAGCTGATCTTTGTGAGCTAATCTTGCAGTATATTCGCCATTGTACGAAACTGGCAGGGTTTTATTAGGCTCTAGCGTCCACGTGAATAACTTGAACTGACCGTAAAGACGAATAGATCCCTCTGTGGAGCCCAGTGAGTTCTTCGCAAAGCACCGGTAAGCGCCGAAATCCTCCGGGACAATACGGCGAATACGAAGTCGCATGTGCACTTTGTACACGTTCTCTGTGCGGTTCAGCGAGTACTTCGCCGACTCAGCGATGAGGTCACCGCTCTCCAGGGTCCAGTAGTTGATGGACATGGGGAACGCCTCGGTGTTGCAGTCCATCACAACTTCGCCGCCTAGTGGAGCTCCAATCAGTTGGTTAGGAATCCAGATCATGGGAGGAACTGCAACATTAGAGACACCATCCTTACTGAGTATCCCATCTTACGTAGCACCAGCTGGTCTGCAAGTTCAGACTGTGCTCTGTTGACTAAATAGTTACGATTTGCCTAATAAATTAAGCACGTTGTGAATAAAGCAATCCTAAGAGTCTTACGTTTCAAAACCACGAATTGATAATGAGAGACGCCTTATTGGAAGGCTCTGGCAATTTCCATCGCTTGGGATTTCTTAACGCGCAGATAAATCTAAGCGCATGCGCCTCCAACACTTTGCTTCCGTCGAAATGTAGCCTCCGCAGCTGGGATTCGATCTTGCGACATTTGGGTCCATGGGCGGCTGCTTTTAATGGAAACAAAATGAGAAGAATACCTGCCTATTCAGATTCAGTTCCTCGATAAAAAAACAGATGACCAAAATTTTATCCGGAAATACCCTCTAAGACGTGCTTTATAATCACATGGTGGTTTTGGGAACGTAAGACCTCGGCAGTTATTTGTCTTCGGGTCCGTAGTGGAGCATGATACCTATGAGACAACCACTGCTGTCAAAACACGCTGCTCTAGTCTAGTTCATCTTTTATTTTCAGAGAGAATTCAGGCCTGAAGTAAGCTCAGTTAGAATTTGTCCTTTCCTGTTTACTTGATAGGGTCGTAGCAGTTTAGGGTCTCGACTTGTCAGGCGTGTCGCGTCGTCGTCATGGTCGATCCTAAAAGCGCACGCGCCACAGAATTGAGTGAATTCAGCCACCGGTCCGTACTGTGCATGTTATGAGCGAAAGGCTCGTCGCTAGTGCTTAAAGTCATAGTTTCCTAAAATTCACTAGAGGGGACTCTGGCGCTGCGATCGTTCAGCGACCATGGGAACGATGGATAGTACACACATTTGCCTAGTCTTCGTACTTGCAGGTGGCAAATCGTACTTGCGGCTTCGCTTATTGCTGTGTTTCGGGTTTGTTTTGAAAGAAAAATTCAACCCTCTTGAACTTCGTGACCCGATTTGGAAAGGTAAGTCTAAAAGAATGAAGTGGTGAAGCGCAACCACTGAATATTTGCTGATACTTCTATCGTGAGAAAACAGCTCCAAGCCACACGAACACACACGGAGCCAAAAGCATGCCAGAAGTACGAAGGTTAGACAAATGTGTGTACTACCCATCACTCCCATGCTCGCTGAAGCTTCGTGCGTTGCAGCTCCCATAGACACTAGCGCCAGAGTTCACTCTATAGTATATCAGGAAACTCTATGCTTAAAACGTTATGTTTAACTTAAGAGCGGTGTCCCCGGTGAAATTTACAAATGTACTCAAGTTTTGTACCCCAAACAAGACACACAGACGTGAGTCTACGGTAGGGTCATCTATTTGAAACGCGAATTTTTAAAGCATCGGCGAACTGATGCAGGGACCAGTGGCGAACAAAGCAGCAGAGATTACGCTGTGGGAAACACCGGCCCACGCTGCACGCTTCGCCCCTTTTCAGGTGTAATGTTAGTGGAGCTGGCTATTCATGTCTCACCATAAGCAAAAAAAAAAACGAAAAAAAAACCGGGAAGAGTGAGGAAGGGAAAAGCGTTTGCACGCACCTCCAACTACACCCGAAGCTTAAGCACAGTTGCCAACGACAGGTTAGACATAGATGAAAATAGAGGTTGAATAAAGCACGTCACACGTGCAATAATGAGTGAGAATACACGCAGACTTTAACGCTATAGCGTTAAGCACTCGTTTGGAAGAAAATCCGGCGTCGGCGTCGTTGGTTGTGAGCGAAAAATTACCTTATGGGTGACCGAAAAATTGAGAACGAGGCAAATAAATTAAATAAGTAATAATAATCCTTAAACAGAGAGGGGATTAAACCAGGGTTGTTTGGTTATGTGGGGGCCGAACCTGATTAGTTTGCGTGGCAAGCGGATGTTCTACCACACGGCCACGTCTCTGCTTGTGAAAACAGTGAAAATAACTTCATCTACTTGAAAATGCAGTGAAAAAAGCTTTCATGTTTCACAAACACACACATCCTGTATAGATACTCCACAATGCAAAATGAAATATTGCCGTAATAATGCGTGGTACAAGCGTCCATTGCCAAAGGGTGTCAGAATATGTGATTTTATCATAATGGCTCCGTTGTTGAAAGTCAGTACCCTACTACAAAATGCACACACTCTTCTCCATGGTGCAAAGTACGCTTGGGAGATCAAAGCGCGCGCCACCGCGAGATCTGGCGACGCGTGCTGATTACGTCATCTTGCTGGTAATGCTGAAAACACGGTAATTCCCCCCGAGATTACCGTCAGCAGTGGTAAGTGGTAGATCTAAATAGCTTGCTATTTCAATGTTGAAGGTGGTGCTCCTTTGTGGCTTAGTGGTTAACGCCTCACATTCACGACGCAGAAATTCCGCCTTCGATTTCGCGCACCGGAATTTTTTTCTCGGTTATTTCCCTTCTTGCGTTTACATATATATAAATACGTATACATATAAGGTGAGTGATGCTGACGCCGGAGGCAAAATCCAGCGGGGAGTGTTGTTACAATTGCTATCACAATAAAAAAAAGTGTTTCGGAGGGGTGTCATCACCATACTTATACTCAATCGCAACGCGACCATGACTGTAACGCGAGGGGGGACTTGGGTAGGAAAAATAGGGAAAACAAACTCGTGTTACAGTCGAGTAATGACCGTGCGTGCCTACCCTTGTTGCTGAGGAAATTATTAAAAAAAAATAATAGACAAGTATGCACACAAGGTGGGCCGATGCAAGCTGTGAAAGCGCTGTTTCTGCAAAAATGAACTGTTGGGCTAGTCGGATCATATTCGCAGTGAAACGATGCCAGCTAAAAACGACAAACTTGACTAGGAGGAAGAAACGTACACAGGCACTTTGATGTGCGCGTCTTCCTACCTGTCTGGTCTGTTGTTTCCGCTGACGCTGCTGTTCCTGCCTGGAATTACGTCGATGATTCGTACCGCTTTCGCCCTTACCTTTGAACAAAGAGAACATAAAATACTTAATAGCTTCTCTTACCACTACAGAAATTTTCCTGATGTCTAAGCAGCCTTTAAAGTTCTCATAAGCTGTATTCGAAGAACGAAGCACGTAACACCTCACCTTACTCTGGTCATAATGTACTTCGGCTGTGCCAACATGAAAAAAAAAAAACTCACAGTGTACTTGTAGGAGTATCCTCCTGCTGACGGGAGATGGGACACCATTGGAGGCGATGCACAGAGGTAGGGTCCCATGTGAAGACGGCTCACTTTGGTGATGCTGAGCTCTTCGCCCTCATAGGAGACATCTATAACCAATAAAGGCTATGAGCGCCGTATCACTTTCTAAACTCTTTCTAAGCACTAGAGTGAAATAAATGAATGCGACATGCTTTTATTTCACTCTAAATCTTCAATCAATCAATCACTCAATTATTGAATGGTTAAATTAACGAATGAATCTATCTATCTATCTATCTATCTATCTATCTATCTATCTATCTATCTATCTATCTATCTATCTATCTATCTATCTATCTATCTATCTATCTATCTATCTATCTATCTATCTATCTATCTATCTATCTATCTATCTATCTATCTATCTATCTATCTATCTATCTATCTATCTGTCTGTCTGTCTGTCTGTCTGTCTGTCTGTCTATAAATCAATCAATCAATCAATCAAATAATCGTTACTGACTATCAGTGGCAGTAGACCCTAGCTGTTCCTGCCAGTTTCCCACGGCGATAGGCGTTCCGTCCTCCCGTCGCCAGGTGATACGAGGTGCCGGGTAGCCCTTGGCTCGGCAAGAGAGCGTCACGTTGGAACCCTCACGCACCAGCACGTCAGAGCTGCTCTCGCTATCCACGATGTCAGGAGGCACTGAGAGAGAGTGTAAACAACCGGGAAAGGCGAAAAAGCATACATTACTCAACGTGTGCAGAATACTCATAGCGTGCACGTACAGGCTAGGCGCTAGCTTATCAACACAGCTATATACAATGAAACATCTGACCGCCAAAGGTAGTATATCTTGAGCATTTCTTCTTACCCTGAAAAAGTTATGGCTAATTTAGTGTCTTCGTTAAACGAGCGTGGAATACTATATAACGGCTCACTGTCACAAATAAAAGCTGCTCCTTTCCCCAAGGCAATTTTTCCTTCCTCACTCCAAGCCCGGTTCTCCGTTTTTCTAACCTTCATATTTTCACGCCTTTTTTGAATTATTAAGTGTGCTGGGAAGAAACATGCCTTCAAAGAGGCCTCGCTTAATCGTAGTTTGTAAGTCTTGGGCTGTTACTGACAAGTCGATTTCAGTTAGCTATACTGAGGGGCTGAGTCGGAGTATTTGTCCTGAAAATGTGTTTAAAGAACACTGAAAGGGCAAGATAAGCAAATACGTTTCTATTTCGGAACGATACGTGGTATATAAATCTTTCTTTCAGCAATAAAATCTATTAAATGTAAAAACATGCTAAGCTCGGCCTTCTTGTACGCACAGGAACATTTCTTTAAATCGCCCTACTGATGCCGCAGGCCGTCAGCACGCCACCTTGAACACGCAAACAGAAGCTAACTAATATTCTAAGATACCACCATAAATTCAAGTATTTTACATTACTTAATTCTATAAGGACTTTCTGAAATCACCTATTAAATACCGAGAACATGAAGTGAAGACATGTGCACAATTTTGGCGTCACATAAGCATGATATGATTAGAGGGTGTGCGAGCTACGCCAGGATTCAACTGTTTCTTAGCGGTGACATGTTTTGAGAATTCGCATGGTTTTCGGCATGTTAATAGTGTAACTATGCTTCGAAGAATTTAGATCACTTTCCCGCAGGGAACCCTGGTGGGATGCGAAGAAGAAGCAGCGTTGCGCACGGGTAGCGTCGCGGGTTTAACGGTGCTAACACGGCTGTGGTGGTGCGCGTTGGAAGATTATTTTCAAGCGATGGCTGGTATAGGTCCTGTAGGTGACACGTACAGACATGTTTCAACGCATACGTTCGGCGTGAGTCAGGCTTATTGAACCACGATTGAACCAACGATTCGACGGTGTAGCGAGTTGTGGTCGAGGCAGGCATTGCGGGCGAACGTACGAGGCGGCAGCTGCGGGCGCCGCGGTGAGCGCACAGCAGGCGAAAGAAAGTGACGTCGGCGCACACTCTGAGGAGAGTGTGACGTCAATGCGCAGCAGCGTTGTGACCTACTTGGCACCACTCCAACACCTGAGCACAAGGCGCATACGTACGGAGGGACAGCGTAACACAGGCAAGTCAAAAAGCTGTTTCGCTTCTAAAACGTGCACGCGCATGTACACGTAAACTGAAGGAGCATGCGCGGAGGCATGGTTTGACTGCCCCGCAGACGAGTAGCGAGAGTCGCAGGTGGAGCTTTCTGAACGCGAGCCTTCTACTTAAGAATGCGCTCAGCCTTGTAACGTCTGCGTGCTAGCTTAAAGAATTCTAGTTAACACGGGAAAAGCTAGCGGGCCTGGCCGCCTGTCTGCCAGCCAGCCTTCGTGTCCATCTTTCCGAAAAGGCGTCAGAGACACGCCGACAGCGACGGGAATTGCTTATGAAGAAACGGGTTCAAGAGGGTGAGGAAGGGCAAGAGAGAGAGAGAGAGAAAGAAACGGCTGCACACAAGATTGGTAGCGTTTGTTTGTTGCTCGCGTGAGAAAAGGATGAACACTGGATAGGGCGGAAGGAAATGAGACAACGAGGATGGAAGGGGCACTGCCATCTTTGTTAGCCAAATCAAATTAGGGATCCGCAATGAAGTGGTTCCTCCAGTTGTTGCCCTCGAAGGTGCGGCAGTGCCATCCACGCATTGCGAGCGATGCGAGGGGAGAAAAAAAGGAGACGACGGGGTTTGTGTTTCTGGCTGCGACGACGCCCGGCCAAGCAGAGCGGAACCGAACACCCCGACGAGAGAGGTGTGCGTGGGAGGAAAAGGCGCCTGGGGAAAGAGGCGACCAAGGTGCAGTGGATGAAACGAAATAGGGACGCAAGCAAAGGCAGCGTGGGAAGAGACCCCGCAGAATGACACCAACAAGAAAAGAAAGGCTGACTGATAGGGTAATACAAGAGGGTGAAAGAAGTAGAAAGATGAGGAGACAATCTAATTTGGGATTCACATCTTCCCGCGCTCCTTGCCTCAGCGCCGGTCCGCCAGGCGTTCTTCTTCCTATGCTCGTAATTTTATTCCGGTGCGTGTCCCCAGCCTCTCCCTCGCCCCCTTATAAGTGGATCGACGAAGGGGGAAGGCGGCGGCGTCTGTTACTGCTTCCTTTTCAGAGAGTATATATACTGCATAGGGGAGCCCGTGGAGACCTATAGGGATACGATGAGGGAAGACGGGAAAGCGGGCCTGGATCAAAAAATGAGAACGAAAAGGGGAACGACGACAGTGGGGTGTCGTTTTTCGGAAACACAGTAATTTGAACTGAAAGAAAAAGAGGAATTTATTTGAAGTATTCCCAAAGTATAATGACCGCTTTGTCTTTCGATGCCGCTTCGGGAGCTCTCTTTTGCTGTCACGTATAGCAAACAGCAGCAGCTTCACATTTTACTCTTTTACGTGTTCTTCGCTTTTCGTGTGGTTAGACTATTTTACCTCGTCGCCGTCGTCTTATTCTTCACAAGGAGTGGGCGGCTACTGATTTATCTTTGTCATTCGAAGTGGTTGAAGTAGCGGCAAGAAATAAAGAAAAAAAAGGGGGGGGGGGAATAAAGCGGGGCGGTATTGGTGTATGGAGCTCCTCTACTATTGTTCTTTCTTTCTGCAGCTTCTACACGTGGGCTGCTTCGGTGGTTGCGAGCTTGGTGCCAAAGCCTGTGTCTTTGGTTTCTCGCTCCGTTTGACGGACCGTGTGCTCGACGGATGACGGTTAGGGAGTAGAGAGAGGGATAAAGGAGAAAGAAATGCGGTGAGGGGGTTTTACCGTTATGCGCCGCCACAGTCAAGTCCCCACGTGCGCGGATATAATTGGAGTGGAAGTAATAAACACGGCGGAGCCAGCGGCTCATATCAGGGCCATGCGGGCAACTGGGAAGTACGCTTCCATGGACTTATTCAATTTAAGCTAATTTGACTCTTGGACGATCTCTCGAGTTTGAACTTCTAATCACATCGTCATGTCGTCATTCCTTCCCCTCTCATTTTTTTCTTTCTACGCGCGTCTCTTCAGACGATTTTTACCTTGCAGCAGTGTTTTTTTTTTCTGAATGACTCCTTCAACGTGGCGGTTTTTCGTGCGCGATCTCAGAGTGTGCGAGACGAGATGAAAATAAAATGACGTTTTTATCGCTGTGTATACGCCAGCCGTGAAAAGCTCTGCGACGTGAGCAAATATTTGGTCTCGGCTCTAAAGCGACAAACGACTACCTAAACCTCTTAGTTGTTTCTATTGGTCCCTGTATATTACGTACTGGGCTTACAGAAAATTAAAACACCCAAGTGCCAAGATCGTCATCAAGTTCTTGTTTCGTGTTGGTTGGTCGTCTTTAGTAAAGTGGTTGATAAAGGGAAGCGTACACTTGATGAATAGATTACTGTTTGCCCAACCGGTGATGGATTAAGCGCAATGTAGCGGGAAATTTCGTATAAATCCGTCAGTCGATCGTCTACCCGGTGTAGAAAAAAAAATGGAGAAGGAAAGATGGATAGACAAACTGACAGCTGATTTATTGTAGCTGCTCTTGTTTGTTCTCATCTATAATTTTTTTGATCGAGTTCACAGCGTTCTCGTCTGCTTCAAGTTGCCAGAACAACAAATGAAGTCTAAAGAAAGCATTTGTTGAATTGTCATGCTGTCACGAATTGAGACACGCCGACTTATACAACTTGACTGGGCCAGAAGAATAAGCGCGGTACATTTGTAACGTTAGTTGATTCACAAGAAAAATGTAGTAGTACAATCTCGGATTTCACATTCCAAAACCGTGATATGTGATAATGAGAGACGTTGTAGTGGAAGGCTTCGAAAGTTTTTTAAGCAGCAGGTAGCATCTAAATCTTACAGCAGACGGGCCTGAACCATTTCGCCTGCACCGAAATTCGACCACTGCGGCCGAGGTCGAACCCGCAACCTCCCGGTCAGCAGCAGAGCACAGTAGCCAGGGATCCACCGTGGTGGACCACACGGCGAGAAGATTACCGAGAAGATCTCGAGAAGAAGAAGTCTCTGTTTTTAGGTGAACTGGCAGGCTAATGGATAGCAGTGTTTGTTTTTAAAGATTAACTACTCGAGATGTACGCGTTAAACATTACCTACCGTTCTTCTCAGTTGCGTTCAGGTAAGTAAGCGCTCAGCTGATTTACGAGTCTCTGGCATATCACTAACGAAGTTTTTACAACATTAAAATCATTGTAGCTGGTGCCAGGGTTCACACCAGAGCGAATGAAAGGTTGTTTTACGTCAAGGAGCAAAAAAAAAAAAAAAACAGTATGGAGATATAACTCGGAAATTAGCGGTCAAGAGTTAACGTTCTACTCCCGTGGAGACACTTCTATGCTAGCGGCCTCTGGCGGCCGGCACGTAAAAGCTCTACATGTATTGTTATATAACTATTTGCCCCATGTAAAAACTGTGCCACCTGTTTAGGAAGGAGTAAGCAGGTACACTGACCTATTTAACCGTGAGAGTTTGCCACGTAGTCCACTGTAGTCTTACGAGAAAAGAAACCTGCTGTGACATTATACAAGTAAGTCCTATCAATTTCGCATGTTTACCATGCGCTCTGAAAGCCGACACAACCCTTATTTCAACATAATATACCATGGTTACTCTCAGAAGACTTGGCAAAAAAGTGAATGAATGAATGAATGAATGAATGAATGAATGAATGAATGAATGAATGAATGAATGGGGATTTGCGGCCGTGTACTGGGGATTTGCGGCCGTGTACTCGATGTTAACGGTGGCTGTTTACCTTGTGTAGGTGGACCACGCAACTGCTGTACAACGCCGAGCCCAGCTATCGTTGAAAGACGCTTGATCTGCGCATGCTGCACCAGTTCTTCTGATTGCGAGCAAATAGCGGATCACCAATCTAGAGGCCTTGGATCTGGGCCTGTCATCTGAAAATATCGCGCGTGCGTTCTCCCCTTCGCACTGCGCTGTCAACGGCATCGACAAGTGCGGCACCCCGTGGTCCATGGTTACCTACAAGTAGCTGCGGCGACGACGGACTTGCGGGATTTGCGGCCGTGTACTCGATGTTAACGGTGGCTGTTTACCTTGTGTAGGTGGACCACGCAACTGCTGTACAACGCCGAGCCCAGCTATCGTTGAAAGACGCTTGATCTGCGCATGCTGCACCAGTTCTTCTGATTGCGAGCAAATAGCGGATCACCAATCTAGAGGCCTTGGATCTGGGCCTGTCATCTGAAAATATCGCGCGTGCGTTCTCCCCTTCGCACTGCGCTGTCAACGGCATCGACAAGTGCGGCACCCCGTGGTCCATGGTTACCTACAAGTAGCTGCGGCGACGACGGACTTGCGGGATTTGCGGCCGTGTACTCGATGTTAACGGTGGCTGTTTACCTTGTGTAGGTAAGTGTGTAGCACCTTTTTTCACCTCGATTATTACCATTGTCACTGGCTGCAAATCCCAACTTTCTATTATTTCTTGTTTGCTATGGGTGTTGATGTGTGTACGTATCGCGCGCGCATAGGACGCTTCCTTGCGCGCCACATACAACTCAAACAGCAATTCGCTGTCTGGCTCCGTTCAACGGCGTTTTTTGGTTACTGGAGACCAGGATGCCGTCTACTTGTAGTTTTGTTCAGTGTTGCACACATACTGCTTTGCGCTGGTGACATCGAAACAAATCCAGGGCCTGACAAAGTAGAGCAGCTATTAGTTTTGGTGAAAGATATAGGACAGACAATTGACAAATTCCAGAAAGAAACTTCAAGCAAGTTGAAGGACCTTCAAACGACTATTACAGATACAAAACGGCGACTTTCGAAAATAGAAGAGCGACTTGACGTTATAGACGTCTTACGTAAAGACGTTACAAGCGTGAACGAGGTCCTACAAGAATCACACGCCCAGCTGAAAAGCCTTGAAACGAAACAGACAGAGCAAGCAGATTTACTGGTCGACGATCTGAATAACAGAATGCGAAGGAATAACCTAGTCTTCAAAGGTATTCCGGAGCAGACAGCAGAAAAATGGAAGGACACAGAAAAAATAGTATCTGAATTTGTCACACAGCATCTTGGAATTCAATCGGGTGAAATAGAACGTGCCCACAGAGTAGGGCGAGTCACAGATGATCGAGTTCGGCCGATTGTAGTGAAATTTTTGAACTTCAAAGATAAGAGTAGCATTCTAAGAAACGCCTACAAGCTACAGAAATCTTCCCCTCGAGTCTGGGTAGAGGAGGATTTCTCGCCAAGGATACAGATGATAAGAAAGAAACTTCGCGATTTCGTAAAGGTAGAACGAAAGCCTGGCGAAAAGTATAAGCTGCTCTTTGATAAGGTTCTCCTGGGAAATAGATTGTACGGATTAGGGAATACTAATGACAGCACAATTGTTCAAATACCAAGGCACGAACCACGTGTAAACACGGCTTGACGCAGGAATCGTTGTGCGCATACCTTATCTCTCGTTGTATGTAATTTTCGCAGCATCTTGAACAAACAAGATCAACTTGCCACAATCGTTGAATGCTGCACTGCGGATCTAGTTCTCGGTACGGAGACGTGGTTAAATGCTGATGTATCGAACGGCGAACTCGCTCTGTCTGCTGATTTCAATATTTTCAGAAAGGACAGGTCATACCAGCGGGGTGGCGGCGTAATGATTGCCGTAAAAAGTCATTTTAAGGCGCAACTATTAGACACAGACGCACACTTAGAAATTTTGTGGATTGTACTGCAACTGTCAGCAGGTGAAACTTGTATTGTCGGGGTATGCTATCGTCCGCCAGACGCTTCTATCGAGTTTGTCGATAATTTGAATGACTCACTTAGTTTTGTTCAATGCAAACATCCAACATCACCAATAATATTAGCCGGTGATTTTAATTATCCGGGAATAGACTGGCGGACATGCACACCTACGGGTGGTACAAGAAGAAATGAATGTATTGATTTCCTTGATACACTTTCATTATTTAACATGACTCAAATGGTCTCTGTCCCTACACGCGGAAGTTCTGTTCTTGATTTAGTGCTCACTACTGAACCTGAGAATATGCGCGTCCACGTACTAGATTGTATTAGTGACCACAATGTTCTACACTGCGAGGCCATGATAAAAGTGGTAAAACCAGAAAAACAGATGAAAGTATTGTACGACTACAAACGAGCTGACGTACTGAACATTCTGTCCGACCTGTCGTCTTTCTCTGATCACTTTCTCACCAGCCTCCATTCTCGTGACACGAATGAAAACTGGCGAATCGTTCACGAGAAACTCATGCAACTAAAAAACCAATACATTCCTACAATTACAATCACATCTTCGACTCACAACTCATGGTTCACCTCGCATGTCAAGCGGTGCATCAACAAAAAAAAGCGCTTGTATTCTAAGGCAAGATTCTCGGGCACCGATGCTGCATGGGAAGAGTACAGAAACTATGCAAAGATATGCGACAGAGAAATAAAAACAGCTAAAGACAAATTTTTTAATGAGGATCTACCTGCGCTGCTAACAAACAATACTAAAAAATTTTGGAAAGTGGTAAATCCTAGGAAATGTTCGGGACAGCCAATTCATCTAACTAAAGACGATAAACTGTTGTCACCGTCAGAGGCTGCAGAAGAACTGAACTTATTCTTTGGATCTGTTTACACTGAAGAGGAGCCCATTTCGGCCGATTTAAAATTTGACTCCATTAACGCCACAATGAATGACATCGTGATCACTCCGGAAGGTATCGAATCGGCTATTGAACGTCTTGCAAACAATTCATCCCCTGGACCAGATGGTATATGCCCGAAGTTACTTAAAATTACTAAGCCAGTCATATCCCGTATTTTTGTAGCTTTATTTCAGCAGTCAATTGACACTGGATGTGTGCCTGACACATGGAAAATCGCTCGCGTGACGCCGATATTTAAATCCGGTGATTCATCGATGCCATCTAATTACAGGCCCATTTCACTCACCAGCATACCCTGCAAATTATTAGAACACATCATATCATCTGCAGTAATGACGTACTTAACCGAGCAAAATTACTTTATTCCTAACCAACATGGTTTCCAGCGCGGGCGTTCATGCGAAACACAATTATTCGAATTAGTTACTGACCTCCATTATGCCGTTCATGCGTCTACAATAATTGATGCCGTATTTATCGACCTTGCCAAAGCATTTGACAAAGTTCCCCACAGTCGTCTATTAATGAAGCTAGACTGCCTTAAGATAAACCGAAACGTTACCACTTGGATAAATAACTTTTTGTGTAATCGTTATCAATTCGTGACTGTAAATGATTGTTCATCTACATTGATTCAAGTTAAATCCGGGGTACCCCAAGGCTCTGTACTTGGACCGATACTGTTTCTCATCTACATTAACGACATTTCTAAAAATCTGGCATCTACTACTCGCTTATTTGCCGACGACTGTGTGATTTATAGAAAGATTACTAACCCAAACGACCACACTGCTTTACAAAAAGACCTTGATAGCATCGCTACTTGGTGCGATCAATGGCAAATGAAAATTAACGCTTCCAAAACAAAAGTAATAACTTTTACGAATACTACCCAGCCCCCGATCAATTCCTATCTCATTAATGCAATGCCAATAGAACACGTTTCATCAATAAAGTACTTAGGCGTCCATCTTTCCGCCGACCTGTCATGGAATGCCCACATTGACGCAATAACATCTAAAGCATCTAAAACACTTGGATTCATTAGACGCCACTTACATCAAGCTAACTGGAAGACAAAACTTACAGCATACACCTCACTTGTTCGGTCTAAAATAGAATATGCTTCATTCATTTGGAACCCACATCAAATTTACTTAATTAACAAACTTGAATCCATGCAAAATAAAGCTGCCCGATTCATAACCAGAAACTACTTGCGTCATTCGAGCATCACTAATATCAAAGCATCACTGAGCCTCCCATTACTAGAGAAAAGAAGAGTGCTGGCCCTGCTATCCCATTTTCACAAACTTTATCATAATCATTCGTCATTTGCTACCACTTACATATTGCCTGCCCATCACTATTTTCCGCGCCTAGATCACCCCTTCAAAGTTTTAGTTCCATATGCGCGTACAAACATCTTCTATAACTCGCCTCTGTTGTGCGCACTCCGTCTTTGGAATGACTTACCACATGATGTTGTGTCTGTAAGAAACTTCGACGCCTTTGTAGAAATGTTAAAAAGCTCACCTAATATTGTATGAAAAAAAAAAAAAAAAAAAAGTGAATTATTTTTTTGTACGATAGTGTTTCATTGTTATTTGCTGTGCTTTAGTGGTGTTACCAACTGTTTATTTGTTCAAATGTAACCTAACCCTCATCCCGTTTACTGTAACCCCCCCCCCCCTATGTAATGCCCGGCAAGGGCCTTTAGGGTATGTGAATAAAAAAAAAAAAAAAAATGAATTGGGAACGCACCGAGCACATCGAGGTATCCTACTTGGCTGTGCATGGGCACCGTGTTGACCTGACACATGTAACCACCGCGGTCCGACTCTTGGACGCTGTCGATAATCAAGAGCCAGGTTCGGTCCGACGGGCTGAGGTGGACGCGATAGTTCTGCGTGATGACGCTCTTGTGGATCGTCAAGATCGTCTTGCTCTCCACTCGCAACCATGCAACCTGCACACGGTGTAATACAAAGTAAGTAAGACAAGCAACATTTTTGTTTATTACTAACGAATCTTGTAATTGAAGGAGTGCTAAGGAAAAGAAACTTAGACTAATAGTGTGTTCATAGACACTTGGTTGAAGGCTTCTAGGAAGTAAAGTTATGACAAAGTATATATTTATGGGCGACCTTAATGCCAAAGTAGGCCAGAAACAGGGTGGAGATATGGCATCAGGCTCTAGTAATGCTAGACGGGAATTGTTAGCGGAGTTTGCAGGACGTAATAGTTCACTGATCTTGAATACCTTATGACAGAAAACGGGCTAAGAGTAAGTGGACGGGGTTAAGTACTAATTGAAAAACTAAAGATATGATAGACTTTATTTTGTGTGCACACCCAGGCACTGTACAGGGTGTAGAAGTAGTTGGCAAGATCCGATGCAGTGACCATAGAATGGCAAAAGCTCGTAGTCACCTATATTTAAAAAAGGAAAAAAAAGCGTAAACTGATATGCAAGAAGCCAATTCATGAGCCTGTGGTGAGAGGGAAAGTATCAGAATTCAGGAGTTGCGCTTCATAGTATATTCGCAGATCTAAATGTGGTCCCCTACGTTAGCGTTCACACAATACCGATAATGTTAGAAGTATCATCAAATAGTGTGCAATGAAAGTCGGACTTACACTCCCTTGACCGGACACTGGCAAACTATACTTCGAGACAAAAAAATCTGATTAAGAGACAACAAGCTGAGAAGGCCTCAAATCAAACCGACAAAGTAGAGCTAGTGGATCTTCCGACAATAATAAATAGACGTAAGGTAGCCGACATCAGAAGGTATAACACTGGAGAGAATTGAACATGTGGTTAAAAGGTGGCAGAATCCTAAAATGTATGAAAGGAAACTCCTGCATAGGGAAAAATCTGATATATGCATTAAGGGACATGAAATACAGTGACATAACTAGTACGAATAGGATAGTTGATATGACAGAAAAGTTCTACAGAGGGCTGTGCAGCAGCTGAAACAACCAGGATGATATTGTAGGAAGCAATATAGACCAGAGGAATTCGACATCACACCAGTAACAATAGGGAAAGTAATGAAAGTCCTAGAAGGAATGGAAAGAGGCAAAGCCGCGGGTGAGAATAACATAACAACTAACCTGCTGAAAGATGGTGGAAAAATTATGTTAGGAAAAACTGACCACCTTACATACGAAGTGTCTCTTGACGGGAAGGGTACTAGAATCTTGAAAGAACACCAACATCATCTTAATCTTAAAAAAAAAAACGACAAGCACTTGAAAAATTACAGGCCGATTATCTTACTGTGCATTTTCTACAAACTATTTACAAAATAATAGGTAATAGAATGAGGGCAACATTAGAGTTCAATCAACCAAAGAAACAAGCAGAATCTTGTACAAGCTATCTCACAATATACCATATTAATATTATCAATCAGGTGGTAGAGAAATGCGTCGAATACAATCAACCGCTATACATAGTCTTCATAGATTACGAGAAAAGCATTTGACTCAGTCGAGGCATCAGCAGGCAATACCAAATCAGGGCATCGACGTACCCTACACAAACCTACTGGAAGAAATCTGCAGGAGATCCACAGCCACCATAGTTCTCCAATAAAGAAACTGACAGAATCCCAGCAAAGAATGGTGTAAGGCAGGGAGACACGATCTCTCCAATGCTATTCACCGCGTAGGAGGAGATTTTCAGGGCCCTGCAGCGAGCACAGGACCGAGTTGACTGGCGGAACACGAGAAAGGCCTTCGTTTTGCTGTGGGCGTAGTCAGGTTGATGATGATGATGATTCTCTTTACAGTAATGTACTGAAGTTTTGTCTTCCTTTTGAAAGCAATGCGATCATTGTTTCCTGGTGAACAATCAGGCCGACCAAACCGGACGCCTAATTACTCAAATGCAAAGACCAACGCGCTTTTTTTCGTTTCATTTTTTTTCACAAGTAAATAACCTCAATAAAGATATATCGGTGCTTGAAGGACATATATAAATTTTAGAAGCACGGGCTGCTGAGCGAGTTGGTAACTCGTCTTAAAGGTAACTCTTTTTAAAAAGGAAGAAAAAAAGAAACTTCATGTAAAGATGCAAGCCGGCAGATGGAAAACCCTGTAAAATAAAGGTTAAACAAACAGGCACCGGATGCCTCACACTAGACAGCCTGTCGTTGGCTCGCGATCCATGTTTACACAACTTTTATTCTGTATACCTGGTCCTTCTTTACAAAATGTGAATTCATAGCGCATTTCAGGATCAGCACGACTGTTCATCGTGATTTCGTTAAAAAGCATACACCTGTGAGACTGTACAAATATGTACACAAACGATCGAGCGATTAGAGGCTCGACTACGTTCGCGCAAACAAGCCGGACGCACACGTTTACTCGACAAGAGTAAAAAACGGGAGGAAGCCCGCATACACGGACAACGACACGCCAAGACACACAGGTCTACTGCATGGTGCTGGTGGTGCGGCCGTTGCTTTCACCTTGTTTTATTATTGTCATGCTGCCCTTTCTGCTTTACCCGGCGAGACCCGGCAAAGTCCTGCGGTGGGCCGCCTTCGCAGACGCTCGCATGGATCGATGCGCGCGGTCCGACCAACAACGAGGCACAGACGTGCCCGACCGGATGCGTGCATGGCCATTCGTTGGCCCCTGCTGTTGATGTCGCGCCCGTTTTGGTGCTTTTCTTTTCGCCGACGTTTTGTGCGTGGCGCCTTTTGCTTTCGGCCCGACGGCCGCAGCGTGCCTTGTTACCTTAGCTCGATCACCCCATTGTTGCCATTTCAGCTCTTTTGCAAGGACAGCCCCATTTTTCCTTCGAGGCCGAGCCTGGCGGCCGTTCCATTGACAAGCACCGTGCGCCGGATAGAAGAGTAAAAAGACGAGCCGAAAAACAAAACAAAAAAGCCACACAAAATACGCAGGCGTGCTAGAGGACAAGACTCGTGGTCCAGGTACTATGTGAAGTTGGATGATATTTTGATAATGGTGCGTGTGCAAGTCCACCGAAGCGTGGCATTTCTTGTTTTCTTTCGTAGCTTGCCACCTGTTTGCGCAGATTATTCGACCTTTTCCGTTTCGACCGTCCGTCTGTTCCCTTCTTGTGGTTTTGTACAGTTTCTTACGAGAAGCAAAGACTCCTCGCTTGATCACGTGATTCTTATCTGGAAACAGCTTAGTAGTGTAACTTTTGCTTCGGCCTGTCGTGCACTTTTGTTGTAGAGGACCACTGGTCCCCCCCAAAAAGTACTGCACTTGCGAACCCACAAATTCGCCAGTTTTCATCTTCAAATATATAAATGCGGAATACTTGCTTGCACACTTGTTAATATTTAGTTTAAGTTCTTTGAATACACTACTTGAATATGCCTACTTAATGATCTGTGCCGCAAAATTAGAAAGAGACCCATCAAGACAACTAATTCAGTACCTAAACGTCGGTAAGGATAATGCCCCTAAAGCCTTTATTCTAGACATTGTAGAGATAGAAACTTGACATTTCATCGGTTCTTATAGCACGAGAGTGCTGACTTGTGAAACCTATGACCGAGGTTAACAGAGACTGCGAATTATTAATCTTTATTAGCGATTGTACTTTCGTATGAGGGTAAAAAATGTATCGCCTAGCCACGTGCAACATTAGAACCTGTTACAATGCAAAAAAAAATTGTCATCTATTGCCCTTGATGACAACAAGATAGTTTTCCCCGTATTTCAGGCCGACTGCAGAACGAACAATTTATAACGTAAATTATATTGATAATTCTCAGTTATTCTTCATTCGCACAGAAATCAGCCATAGCCGTGTTGCACATGTAATAAATGTGATTAAATTTTGCAGCGTCATTGAAAGCTCAGTGAAGTTTTTTTCATGTGCTTGGAAATCGGCTCTTTTGACTTTGTGTAGCTGCTACCGTAAGGTCTAGAAGCAGCTACAACGTTTTCAGTCAATTGCTTTCTTGTCCTCACGCAAGGGTATACCATCACACAGAATCCAAATGCTGTAAAAGCAGCTCAGACGATTGCTTGATGGGAAGCAAATCTTTTCTTTTGTCTTCTCTTTATTTCAAAAACCCAAAAGAATCTATACCCTCATTGATGTCTCTTAAACTGCAGGAGGAGGAGTAAAAAAAACTATTTCCAGTTCCTCTTTCAGTCTCTGTGGTTTTTACATCGGAACGAACAATGATCAGGAAAACACAGCTTTTTTATGTTCTCTGATATTTTAGCATCTTGAATGTACAAAGTAATAATGATTTATTGATAAGTGGTGTTTAACGTCCCCAAACCACCAAATGATTATGAGAGACGCCGTAGTGGGGGGCTCAGGAAATTTCACCCACCTGGGGTTCTTTGACGTGCACCTAAATCTGAGCACACTGGCCTACAGCATTTCCGCCTCCATCGGAAATGCAGCCACTGCTGCCGGGATTCGATCCCGCGACCTACGGGTCAGCAGCCGAATACCTTGGCCACTAGAACACCGCGGTGGGGCTATAAGGCATTAGGCGTTACGAAATACTTACAGTAGCTAAGCTTCGATCATCGCATAGTTCCGCTGACACATTGGCTTTCCTACTTCCTCTTACAATAATGAATGCAGTGATTTCTAAACATCACTTTAAGTTTACAAATTATCAATAAAAATTATCAAGAAAACAGTAATAAAGTTGCCTTAAAACTCTGTGTAGCCATTACGCCCACAGGAGTGCTTTTGTATGCATTACGCATACAGTATATAACATTAGCGCACTTAGCTGCAACACGCTATATAGTGTGGTGTGATAATCAAACGCATGCCGCAACGAGTGCCCCTCGACGACAACGGAATGCGATGCAGCGCGCGGGAACATGCTTTAGGCGGGGAAATACACGCGACGCATGCAAGCCGGCATTCACGTTGACCCTCCTTTTATACAGCGGAGAACCTAATGCGCGGGGAAAGATGCTTGCTCCGCATATTTA